CCGCGCCTCCCGGCTCGTTCCGGCTCCGGGAAACACGGCCTTCTGCAGCCGTCGCGCGGCGGATACCCGGGACGTAGGATGGCGCCATCGGGGGGGTCGGTGATACCATGAAGACCCAACAAATCTACGGAGCAATGGGCTGCAAATTGTTACTTTTTTTGTTACATTGAATTGTCACCACAAAGACGCCGAGAAGATGAAATCTGCACCGTTATTATAATACTCCCGGCGATCCTGCCATGGGGGTCCTTGTTCAGGCACTTCCTGTTATAGGGTGACGAGGCTCTGTCCTCGTTCAGGCACTTCCTGTTAATAGGGTGACAATGATCTGTCCTTGTTCAGGCACTTCCTGTTATAGGGTGACAATGATCTGTCCTTGTTCAGGCACTTCCTGTTATAAGGTGACAATGCTCTGTCCTTGTTCAGACAGTTCCTGTTATAGGGTGACAATGATCTGTCCTTGTTCAGGCACTTCCTGTTATAAGGTGACAATGCTCTGTCCTGGTTCAGAGAGTTCCTGTTATAGGATGACAATGCTCTGTCGTTCTTCAGGCACTTCCTGTTATAGCGTGGCAATGCTCTGTCCTCGTTCAGACACTTCCTGTTATAAGGTGACAATGCTCTGTCCTTGTTCAGGCACTTCCTGTTATAGGGTGACAATGCTCTGTCCTTGTTCAGGCACTTCCTGTTATAGGGTGACAATGCTCTGTCCTTGTTCAGACACTTTCTGTTATAGGGTGACAATGATCTGTCCTTGTTCAGGCACTTCCTGTTATAAGGTGACAATGCTCTGTCCTGGTTCAGACACTTCCTGTTATAGCGTGGCAATGCTCTGTCCTCGTTCAGGCACTTCCTGTTATAAGGTGACAATGCTCTGTCCTTGTTCATGCACTTCCTGTTATAAGGTGACAATGCTCTGTCTTGGTTCAGACACTTCCTGTTATAGCGTGGCAACGCTCTGTCCTTGTTCAGGCACTTCCTGTTATAGGATGACAATGCTCCCTCCTTGTTCAGACACTTCCTGTTATAAGGTGACAGCGCTTTATCGCCTTCTCCCCGTTGTGTTGCTCCGTTGTCACCCTGTCAGCTCCATTGCACATAACACAGACATTATCTACTGTTGTCACCATCAGAAATCCCGCCCTGAGAAATGTCACGCAGCAATCGCTGGAGTGCATGTAGACAGGAAGTGGCTGCAAAGACGCTGCAGGAGATCAGCAGCTCTGAGCCTGTCAGGACTTTATCACACAGTGGGGTTTGAGGCCCCGTTACGGCAGAAAAGTTATAAAGTTCTTTATAGAAAATGGCGGTAACTTTTTATGATCGGCGCTGTGCATGGAGAGCGGTTTATTCCCTCCCCTCCCCCGGACTCATTATCTGACTCCCAGTATTAATTACATTCTTACGGCTTTCTTTTCATTACTGTACACGGCTCCGTCCAATGGGAGACATCCATGGAAATGAAAACTCCGTCCCATGAATCTCTCCGATTATCTCGTTATAAGAAGAAGTTAAACATTGTAAACTGTTCATCGTAGAAACATCATCCCGAAGCCGCCTCCCCCGGCTTAAAGGAACACTCCGCTATTGTCACAAATCACATCCGACATTCATCATTGGTACAAAGTCATTCAAGGCCCCCTTTCAAATCAGAAGTCCCCCCCCCCCTTCCAGTCACACACCCCC